GATTCAGCTCTGACTAACCATTTTCAGAAGGTTCTGTAGCATAACATTTATTTTTAAGAGGGCTTGGGTTCAAATCCTGATCCTACCACTGGTTGGCTATTTGATTTTAATGCTACCTTAAGTTTCTTTGTGCACAGACAGCATTAACTCAATAGCATTGTTTTAAAGATTAAATACACAGTGTGCTTCATACCTAGGCAGAGAGTAAATCCTTGATGTTATTTTCAGACCAATACATGTTTAAAAAGTGAAACGTTGCCATCATCTTTAAAGACAGTAAAAAAAAAAAAAAGTAATAAACTCTGACAACAAAAGAAGTGGTCTTTAAGTTCTGAGCAACATTCATTGGAATAAGCAGATAATTGCCTGAGAGGACTACCTGGGTTTATCAATTCGGGTATGCTGGTTATTAAATTGGTTATATTACTTCTGTTATCTTACAGGCCAGAGGTCATAAAGTGAGACCCACAGACACGTTTTTATAGGCCTTCAGCATTTTAAAAAAATTTTTAATAGGTTGCAATCTTCAAAACTGGGAGGTTTTACATTAAAAATCTAAACTTACTGCTTTTCTTTAAACCCCCACACACAAATCAGACAATGCGGATAGTGTTTCTGCATTGGCAATGATTGGAGGGAGCTGAAGGTGGCACGCTGGAGTTGAAGGTGACTCTTCCCTAAGTGAAGAGTCCTCACCAGTCCCCTATCATCCAAATGGCACTGAGGCCACATCTAGATTTCCACTGATCATCACACTTGAATTGTGTCTTTTCTTATATTTACTGATTTACAGTATTTGCTGTACCTGTATGAGCTGCTGTAGACACATATACTATCATATGTTCTGGAGTGGAGAGAAACTAAAGTTAATTTCCCTAAAGTGACCCAATAGGAGGTTTAAGCTCAACACACTTATATTTTTTTATATGATATTTAAAGAGTATAAAAATTGTATTCAGAATAGGGTCAAAATAGTGCACTTACGCATAAATAGTTTTAGCATCTTCAGCACTTTTGTCTTTAAATTCAAGAAGCTCCTGAAGACTCTGGATATACCTAAAATGCAAATCAGTAGGGTAAATTTGTTCTTTTACATTTTGAAAGTTCAATATTGTGAAAATACTAAAAGGGTATTTTTAATTTTAACATCTTTTAATTTTTAATTTAGAATAGTGCTACAAATTATGGTTGAAGTAGGATTTTTAGACCCATTCACATTTAAGCAAAGTGCCTGGCACAAAGTAGGAGAAGGTACATTTTCTCCTAAAAACATAGGTTAAATATGATTTAAGAATTTCAAGATTTCGGGTGCCTGGGTGGCTCAGTTGCTTAAGCGGCTGCCTTCGGCTCAGGTCATGATCTCAGGGTCCTGGGATAGAACCAAACACCCCTCCCCCGCCCCCAATCTGCTTCTCCCTCTCCTTCTGCCCCTTCCCGTGCTTGTGCACACGCTGGTGCAGCATGAACACGCTCTCTCTAATTAATACATAAAATCTTTTAAAATAATAATTTTAAGATTTCCTACTTTTTTTTTTTAAGTTCTATACTCTAAGATAGCTTTTCAGTTTCTTAAATTTACTACTATACAGTATAAATGCTGATTGTCATGAGAACTGAGTCTGTTACCATGAACTATGTGATCTGGGACAATGACTTAGCTTGTTTTAGTCTCAGTAAAATGTGGAGGCCCGCCTATCTCAGTCTATGAGTCTAACTTAAAACCTGAGCTTTAAAACCTTATACGCCGTATATATAGGCCTTGAGTGTTTAAAAAAAAAATTTATTAGTTACAATCTTTCAAAATTGGGAGATTTTACATTAAAAATATAGACTCGTGACTTTTCTTTAAATACACAAAAATCAGATGATCTGGATAGTGTTTCTGCATTGGCAATGATCGGCTGGAGCTGTAGGTGGTTATCCTTTAGAAGCATGCACTCTCCAGGTTAATAGCTTATGTCCAGTCAACAAGTATTTGTTAAAAGCCTATAATTTACCACATAGTTCTTTCAAACAGAGCTGAACAAAAACAAAAGTCATGAAAATGTAGGTTTTTAATTTACCTAACAATTCAAGGTGGCAAATCACCTGTTAAGGACGGAGCAAAATGAGGAAAACCAAATGACTTTGTCAAGGTCAACTTGCCAAGCACGATGACAGTACAGGGCCAGAGGTGAAAACACTTCACTACTATTCAATGACTTTCCATAATATAGGGTCTGCTTTGGCTGCTCTCTTGGAACTTTATCTACAACTGTCTTTAGTAGGCATCCAGGAGCAATGAAAGTGTAAAAATCTGTAAATCCAGATGTTGGTTTGGAAACCTGTTCTTGACAAGCAATGTGCCTCTCTGCAGTCCAAAGCATTCCAAATTCAAGTGATTCTGATATTTGCTTTAACCCTTACTTTTCACTGGCAAGAAAAACTATGCTCTTTATTCAAGAGAGAGTTGAGCACCTACAACATTTTAGACACAGATCAGATTTCAAAATGCAGCATATTCTATTATATGTTCTATATATAGTCTATATATACACCCTCTAACACATTTTATCATTCTGACTATAGCATGGTATAGTAAAAAGAAACCAATCTGGGCTTGAATCTCAGCTCCACTATGAGTGGTACTGCCTTTGGCAAAAGACCTGTAGGCGCCTCAGTTTCCTAATCCATAAAATGGAGATAATAATGCCTAATGGGCAGAGTTGTCGAAGGGATTAAAGGTAATATACATAAACCCCTAGCCATCAACACATGATAGATATTTTTTATTATAACAGCCTGCAGATTCAATAACACAAATCATAAAGTCAGTGTGTGTATTTCTGTGTAGTTCTGATTTTTTTTTTCAAAGTCAAGGATTGGTAGAGTCCAGGATTCAGGGGACAAGCCTAGACACACCCATAAAAGGAGGAGGAATGCTCTGAATCCACTGAAGAGTTAAAAAAGAAAGTATTTGCTTTCACCTTAAGTCAAGGCTACAAGTCCACTGAAATTGCAAACACAAGATGGGAATCTTACCAGCTTTGTACCAATTGAACTGATGGAGTCCTGAGAAGATTATCTGGAAGAAGACTTATTTCTTTCATTATATTTGCCAATCTAACAGGCAGCTCTTGCCGCAGAAACATAAATGAGGTCTTTTCACAAGCATTCATAGATCCTAAAACCAAACAGGGTGGGAACAGCAATAAGTAGAGGCCATAAGGCAGCAGAAGCCAAGTGGCAGGGAGAAACACAGAGGGCGTTACTGGGCAACGTCAGAGTGGTAGCGTCACCATAATGACAGGGAAAGGAAGAGGCAAAGGACAAGATAACCCACTCAGTTGAGCTGGGAGGCATCCTAAATGACCTGCTAATTCCTGACATTCCAACTGCTTTGTAGAGTGATGAAGATACTTTCCTCTTTCCGTCATCCGTACGGGATCATCTTAGAACCACGGCAACCTGAGCAAGTCTGAGCAAATGTGGAGTCTAATGAACAGTAGGATGGCCAAAGCCTATCCTATGTAACCAGTTGCTGCTATTATTTAGAAAATCTGCTTCCTAACTCCAGGTTTATAGAAATGAATACCTAAGATAAACAGAGAAATGGTATATGCATGAGAACCATGATAAACAAGACTCAATGTAGAGGAGGGCTTTCAGGTAACAGAAAGCAAAAACTACCAATGCCTGTTCTGCAACCATCTGCAAGCTTTGAACCCCGGCACCCCCACCCCCCCTGGCTTTTCAATTGTCTGATTCCTGGAAAGCAGCCTGCTCTTCTTCCACTCCTATCAAGATGCTAGGCAGAACAGCTGTAGAATGGCCTTTGGCAAGCAGTTCCATTTAAACTAAAAAGTCCTGTTATTTCAGCAGTGCGTTTTAAACTCACGAATTTAATCTTGCTGCTTTAGCAAGAGGCAACCTTAGCAATAACTAGATTGTCCATAGCAGGAATGGCCGAATTAAAGGAAAGCATTTTCTTGCAAAAGTTTAATAGGATACTGTGAACAAGGCCAAATTCACCCCTTAATCACACTACAGTCATTTTAAGGTACAAACAAAAAATGAGGGCTGTGTGCCAAAAAAATTTTGCCACTGTACACCACAATTTTAAGATAAAGCTTCCAGCTATGCTGGTATCTTTTGAGCCCACTAATCATCCATTACTGACTTAACAGTCAGTACTCACAATGCAGAAGATAATTTTTTTCTACTGAAGTTTTACGACTATATCAGTTTTCCCTTTCCCCCTCAACACCCCCATATGAGAAGTCAAAAAGTCTAACTTTGCATTTTCTCTGCAATCTGTTGCATCCTTTCTAGAGAAAACCAGGAAGCGTCCACCAGAGGAAGAGGAAAGTGGATCGGGTGAAATCTGGCAATCCCCACAGCACTGGTGTTCACGCACTTCACATGTGCTCAAGACTATGCTGATGATGAAATCAATGTGCTGTTGGTGGAAACACTATTAGGCAAGTGGCAAGGAAAACATTCTATGAAGCACTCGGGCCAGTTATAACCTGCTTCTCCTATCATCATGTCAACTTTATGCAATCATCATATACAAAACTGAGCATTTATCATCACTCTGAAGAATCGAAACACGATTCCCGGAGGTGTGCACACACTTGCCTCTAGCCGGAGCTCGGCTCTTCCGAAGGGACCTGGCAGAGAGCACGGTTCTGCACACGTGCGCTGAAAGGCGGGAGGTCATTCCGTCCGCGGCCCTCCCTGTTTTTCAACACACAGTAAAAAGGCACACGCCCCCGGCCCGCCTGTGCCAGCACCTGAGCGAGAGGATCTGCCCGCAAGGGAGGAAGGAAGCACCTAAAGCACTGGGGGAGGAGACGTTAAGGAGGAGGGGTGCGCCGGCGGTGAGAGGCGGCCAGCGCGGGCCGGGGCCGGCCCGGGTCAGGGGCCGCATTTCCCCGCGCAGGGCCGCGCACAAAGGCCCGAGGCCCGGGCCGCACTCACCGAAGTCCAGGAACTGCTTCATGGAAAGCGGGGACGGCGAGAAGCGCGCGTAGAAGTCCACCTGGCCCGGAACGCCGCTCTCAGGCGCGGGCCCGGAGCCCGAGTCCGAGGTGAGGCTGCGGCTGCCGCCGGGGCTAGCCGCGCGCAGCCCAGAGCCCGGGCCGGCCGAGGCGGCTCCGCGCAGCAGCCGCGCCAGCCTCATGCCGAGCCCCGCCGGAGGAGCCGGAGCCGCGGCCGCCAGGTCGCCGCTCCGCGCCTCGCCCGGGCGGTACGTGAGGGACGTGGCGACCCTCAGGGGCGGGGAGCGGCTGTCATCGCCACGGCCACCGCCCCCCTCGCCGGAGCCCGGCCCCCTGCGCCGCTGGGCGGGACCCAGAGAGGGAGGCGGGGAGAGAGGCGGGAGCGTGCGCGGGGTCCGCCCCTGTGCCAAAGCCCGGCCTTCCAGCGGCGAGCGAGGGGGCGGGTAGTGTGTGCGCAGGTCTGCGGGCGGAAAACCGCGGGACCCCGAGTCGGCAGGGTCTCCGCAGTCCCGGGCCCGCCTCGCGGCGCAGCTGCGAACCCCGCAGGTTGCGGCGGCGCCGGGGCTGCTAAGCCGCGCTCGCCCTGTGGTGCGCCCCCTTCCCACGCTCTTTCAGAGCGAACCACACCTTCCTGCTTTCTGTGCCTCCTCCCCAGCCTCAGCCAAAAAGGGTTAAGGACTGGGTCGCGCTCCGCTTCCCACAACGGCGTGCTGCTGCGAGTCCGAGTGCGTTCCAGAAACTCTCCACGGTGATGCAAGCCCCATATTTTACAGATGAAGACGCCAAGACCCAGAGACCTTCAAGATCTGACCCTTGCCAAGCAGTGGTACAAAAATGCAAGTGAACACGGGGGAATGTATCCCTGAATATTATCAGCGACTGCAGACCCAGAAGATGATTGGCAGACAGCCCAACTTGAAGCTTTTATGTGCAGGCCTTCTAGGCATGGTCAGCAACGTACTTAAAGGGTACCTCCCTCTTGACTTCACCGTCTTAGCCTCACAGTTTGGTAGTTCCATCCTTTCCTCTTCTCCAATTTCCTCGACTTATGATGGGGTACCTCTGGTTATGGTAAGTTGAAAATGCATTTAATAAATTTATCCAGCATCATAGCTTAACCTAGCCGACCTTAAGCGTGCTCAGAACACTTCCATTAGCCTACAGTTGGGCAAAATCCTCTAACCCAAAGCCTATTTATAGTAACACATACTTTATTGAAGTACTGTCCTGAAAGTGAAAAACAATGGTTGTACATAGGTTGTTTACGCTGGCGACTCTAGGGCTGAGTTGGAGTTGCAGCTGCTGCTGCAAGCATCACAAAAGAATATTGTACCACATTTCAACTTGCTTGGGAAAAGATCAAAATTCAAGGTATGATTTCCACTGAATGGGTATCGCTTTTGCTCCACTGTAAAGTAGAAAAATCGTAAGTTGAACTATTGAAAATCGGAAACTGTGTAGTGAATACAAGACTAGACAATTTATTTTGGTTTAATCCCATAGAACTGCAAAGTCAGCAATCTATGCTGAAAATCACCACTGCTGCCCCTTCTCTCCACCACTACTTCCCCCTTGTATCTATCCCCAGTGCTTTGGTATGCCTTAGATGCAACAAAATTACTTTTTCATGGGTAGTTTATCAATAAAATATGTATACATGTATATCTCAGCAGTTACTGGTATAGAATAACAATTCATTTCTTCATGATGGTCAGGTCTTGGGTTGTATTGATAAGGAAAATCTGTGTCCTAAGATGGCCGACCGAGCAGTGAGAGCGTCCCAGTCCTTGCCCTGGGGCTATTCCGGTTCTTCCCCCTGCTCTGCTTTCTGTGCGCACCAGTCCGGGTCCTTCTCCCTGCCCCGCTTCGTGCCTGCACCAAAAGTGCCAAGTATGGGGCGCCTGGGTGGCTCAGTCGTTAAGCGTCTGCCTTCGGCTCAGGTCATGATCCCAGGGTCCTGAGATCGAGCCCCGCCTCAGGCTCCCTGCTCAGCAGGAAGCCTGCGTCTCCCTCTCCCACTCGCCCTGGTTGTGATTCTGCTCTCACTATCTCTCTCTCTCTGTCAAATAGATAAATAAAAAAATCTTTAAAAAAAAAAAGTGCCAAGTATGCGGAAGCAGAAGTGTATTTGATTGTGCTCGGGGCTCAGACATTTGGAGACCACTCTCCTCTGAGCCCTCCCACGTTAAATCTCCGATCTTCCAAGATCTCCGGGTGCCGCTTGGTTCTTCCGTCGGGCGGTCCAGTCCGGGTTACATAACATTTGGTTCCCTGACCGGGAAACCCAACCACGCTGGCCCATTGTTGCCACCGGTTTGGGGGCAACGGCGGGGCGGTGATGGAAGGAGGGATCGTAACAGAGAAGGCGCGCCCTGCCTCATTTTCGGCAGTCTCCTGCCCCGGTCGCCTCCGGCCGGCCCTGCTCCACTGTTCCTGCCAGACTCAAGGAGACTTGGCAGGTGAGGACCTGGTCCCAACGTCGGATTCTGGTAAGGCCTGGGGCCCCAGGACCCAGACAGGCCCACCCTCATTGGGGTGGAAGGAGAGCCTGATCACCTCCCAGAGACCTCTTGTAGGTCTCACAGGTAGGGATTCCCAGGGACGGAATGTAATGACTTCTGGAGTGTGAACGTGTGAGTGAACGTGCAGTCCAACCCAGCTTGCTCAAGCGGACTGATTCTTTGACTCCATGGGCGGACACCCTTAAGGTCCCTAGAAGCCTACGGAGTCTGAGTGGGCCTGTCTGTGATTTCTTGGTGAATGGCATGCGGTCTATGGCGGGATCGGAATAGTTTCTGATCATAAGTCACAACTCTGAGACCGCTAAGGCTAAGCCTCACCGAAGCTCCTTCAGGATGCCAGACAGGCATCTGATTGGTCTCCTTATCTCAGGAGGCATTCCCCCCCCGCCCCCATCTCTGTGCCACCACACACGGGGACATCACCATGGGATCAGGGCAGAGTAAACCTACGGTTCTAGAGACCATGATCAAAAATTTCCAAGATTTGGCCAAATTGTCTAAGCCTAGTCGTGTGTGAAATGCTTCAGAACACTTGATGGAGGCAAAGCAGAGCAACCAAAATTGAGATCATGAGACAGGCCTGGGGATCTGGAATTTGCGCAGGTCGGAGGACCTGGGAGTCAAGTCAGCCTTCTCTAACAAGGCAAGATCTCCAGCTGTTTAGGTTCTTTAGCTTCACAGACCACCTTTCCCTGTCGTCTCTGGGTGGTGTGAGGTTGGGGCGAGCATGCCGCAGGGGTGGGACAGGTCTCAGGTAGGGAGAGGCGGGAGACAGTGGCTCTTCTGGAGAGGACTGGGGCAAGGAAGTTGGGGGAGGAACCCTACTAAAATGAAAACAAAGAAGAGGTCAGATCAAAAGCCAAGCTACTACACTGTTCAAAGGCAGATTCCGGTTGTCTGTCTGGGGTAGGGCTGACACTGGCGATTTAAACAAGATACCCCAGGCCATACAGATTCTGCTGGTCCACTAGCTGCACTCTGAACAGCAAGGCTTAGACATTGTTTCCAAACCTCCTTTATAAGAGTCACCTGGGAGGACCTTGTTAAAAAGGCAATTATTTGGGGGATGGGGTAGCCAGGTGATGGGTATTACGGAGGGCATGTGTTGTGATGAGCACTGGGTGTAATACTGTCCGGCCTATGCAAACCCACTGAATCAAAATGGGTGGGATGGGGGGAATATCCCAGAAGCTGTGTGTTTAAAAAGCAACCCCCGGAGACACCTAAGTGGCTCAGAAAAAAACTGTCAGACTCGGGATACCAAGCCTCATGGAAGAAGGCACAAATCTGCCAACTACAGGGCCGATACCTTGGTTTTCTCCCCACCCAAGGGAAGAGAGAACTAGGGCTAAAGAGGAAAAGGGTCATCATCTCCCTGCCACAGCCCCAGACAAAGAGGGGCCTATGAGAATTCCTGGGGGCTGCAGGATTCTGCCACATCTGGATCCCTGGGTTCTCAGCAATGACAAGACCCCTTTATGATCTCTTAAGGGGAACAGATCAAGAACTCCTTGCCTCGACTGAAAAGGAAAAAATAGTGCTCAGGGTACTCACCCAGACTTGGACCCTGGCAGCTGCTGGTTGCTTACCTGTCAAAGAAGCTGGACCCTGTGGCAGGAGGATAGCCACCAGGCCTCAGGGCACCGGCAGCCATAGTCCTACTCATCAAGGAGGTGGACAAACTTACCCTGGGGCAAGAACTTAACGTCAAGGCCCCTCATGCAGTTGTGTCCCTCATGAATGCACAGGGACACTGCTTCCTTTCCAACTCTCAGCTAGCACAATACAAAGGGCTCCTCTGCGAAAACCCACAGGTCACCCTCGAAACAGTAAGGACGTTAACCTTTCTCCCCACGGAAGAGGGGGAACCAGACCATGACTGCTCCGAGGTGGCTGATGAAGTTCACATGAGTCGTCCAGATCTGCGGGATCAAGCCGTAAAGAATCCAGAGCTCACGCTGTTCAGCGATGGCAGCAGTTACCTACAAGAGGGTGCCCAGAAAGTGGGTTATGCAGTAACCTCAACCACTGAAGTCCTAGAAGCTAAGGCATTACCAGCTGGATGGTCAGCTCAATGGGCTGAATTATATGCCTTAGTCGGAGCCCTCACCCTCGGTGAAGGCAAGCGAGTCAACATCTGTACTGACTCTCGGTACGCCTTTGCTACTGTACATATACATGGAGCCATCTACAAGGGAAGGGGCCTCCTAACCACAGCAGGAAAAGCTATCAAGAACACGGAGGAGATACTGAGACTCCTCAAAGCCATCTGGCTTCCAAAGGAAGCAGCAATCCTGCACTGTAAGGGACACCAGAAAGGAGACAACCCCGTAGTGCGGGGAAATCGTCTGACAGATGAGGCAGCCAAGACCGCAGCCAGTGAGGACATAGAGCCCCTTCCCTCACCATGGTGCTAACACCCCCGGAAGACGTCCCTCCACCCAGTTACACTAAAAATGAAAAGGAATGGTGCCACGGCCCGCGTGCAAGGTCGAACAGGGGTGAGGGTAAGAGAATGAAACATAAAAGTATGGGAACAGGAGGGTTGTCCACGGGGATGCCGCGAGCAACAACTTTATTCTTACTTACACACTTTATATAAGTTCAGGTTACATAACAGTAGGACATAAACAAGTTCCACAGTTTTCTCCCTGCCCTCTCCTGGCTCCGTCCCGAGTTTTTGGTCCAAGGCCAGGTTCCTCAAGCACATAGTTTCTTCCCATGCCTTCAAAGGGCCTGGTGCGCTATTTTTCAGGGCTTATCAATAACACTGTGGTTTCTTAGCCTAAATACAACTCGGGCTAGCCAGTACCACATGTTCTTGTATGGGGGCAGCCAGGTGGCCATGGTTCAAAGGGATCAGGGAGCCTTTGCTCTACCCGATTAACCCCTTTGTTGCTCATGGCTCCCGACAGAATGGGCCATGGCTGAGGGGGCCACCCTGACTGAAAAGGGATGGTGGATGATGCCAGATGGGCGCATCTTTGTTCCAACAGCAACTGGAGGGCATCTGGTCAAGGAACACCACCAACTCACTCATCTGGGAAAAACTGCATTAGAGGCCCATTTCAAGAAGCACTACTACATCAGCTCCCAGCACTATGCCGAGCAACAAGTGAATGATGCATAACAAATGCTTGGTCTGCACCATGGCCCCTGCCAGGTGTCCACAGGATGGGAGCAACCCCCTTCGAAGATCTAGAGGTAGACTTCACAGATGTGCAGCCGAGCAGGGTGTTTAGATATCTCCTAGTAATAGTATGCACATACTCTGGGTGGGTTGAAGCCTTCCCAACCAGGACGGAGCAAAGCCAGGAAGTGGTTAAAGTCCTCTTGTGAGAGATCGTGCCCTGGTTTGGCCTGCCATTAACAATCCGTAGTGACAATGGACCCGCATTTGTGGCAGACATTGTACAGGTCTTGACCAAATCTCTCAATATCACCTGGAGACTCCATACCACTTACCAGCCCCAAAGTTCAGGGAAAGGGGTTTTTGGGAGACTATGGAGTCAGGATGAACCCCGGCGAGTTGAGAACCCTATGTGAATT